TGACCTTTTGTAACTTGATCGTTTCACTTAGCATAATGTATTTATTTCAATTAGTATACTGGCCTCAAGATTTATCCATATTTTATCATGGATAAAGCTAAGTAATGTTTCTCTGTGTGGATAAACCACATCCATTCATCATCCATCTATTTATTAATTTACTTATTTATTCATTCATCTATTCATTTATCATTGGTCACTTGGCTGTTGCTTCCATCTTTTTGGCTATTTTGAAAAAAATTGTGGCTATGTACATGGATGTAAAAGTATCTCGGTCACTTTGAGAACATACATTCTTTTCTTGGGTAGGTTTTGGAGTCTTTCTTCCTTGAGGCTGACATCCCTCCAGGTTAGGCAATTCTTTATTATACCCTCATGGGTATCTGAGCAACTGTCTTCTTCATAGATCATCAGAACCTGCTGAGAAGTGACATGTCCCCTGAGACACGTGCTGGTGACTAGGGGGATTGTAAGGAAAAAACAGAGTGAGGCATGGGCTACTCTTATACAATATAGGATTCCTGACCCTTTGAAGAATTTCCAACCGTCTAAAGCCTGTCTTGATTCTTCAAAGATGCCAGATGTACTGCTTTCACCTGGAAACAAGCATCCCCATCCCCCAACACTAAGCAGTGTGGAGTGGAGCATGACAAAGGCTGATCTAGCTCTCCGTTATCACTGTGTATGTTGGGATGCAGCGTTACAATCCAACCCTAGCTTTCTGTTATCACTGTGTATGTTGGGATGCAGTGTTACAATCCAACCCTAGATTCTTCTTATACATCATAGACTATTTATATTCTTTCATCACTTGAGGAAGCCTCTTCTTTTTTCAGTACAGAAAGAAATGTGTCTATCATTTCTGTTACTTATAGGACTTGGGTGTGGCTCTGTTTACCATCTGGAAACAGAAGACAGTTTGCTCCTTTAAAAGAAAGTAAAGGAAGCCAGCAACAGTGGCTCATGCCTAGAATCCTAATTACTCAGGAAGCTGAGATATGAGGATCACAGTCTGAAGACAGCCTGGGCAGGAAAACTTCATGAGACTTTTATCTCCAGTTAACTACCCAAAAAAGCTAAAAGCGGAGCTGTGGCTTAAGTGGTAGAGTAGTAGCCTTGAGCAAAAAAGGTCAATGACAATGCCCTAGCACTGAATTTAAACCCCAGAAATGGCACAAAAAGAAGGAAAGAAAGAAAAAAAGGAGGGAGGGAGGGAGGGAGGAAGGAAGGGAAGGAAGGAAGAAAGAAGGAAAGAAAGAAAGAGAGAGAGAGAAGGAAGGAAGGAAGGAAGGAAGGAAGGAAGAGAAAGGAGGGAAAAAGGAAGAAAAGAGAAAAAGAGTAATGTACAATAGTGGTGCCTCACATCTGCAATTCTTTGGAAGCTACAGTCAGGAGGTCAGTCCAGGCAGAAAAATTTACCAAGCACCTTCTAAACCCATAGCTGTCATCCAGCTGTAATCTAGGGTGCATGGGAAGCTGAGACTGAGAGGACTGCAATTCAAGGCCAGCCTGGAGATTCTGTCTCCATCTCCATGGAGGATAGGTGGACTTACGGGTATGTGCCAGTGATCCCAGCAACAAGAAGAAGCCTACAGTTAGGTGGATCTCAACTCAGTCTTATGCCCAGGCAGAAAAGGAGAATAACAATAAACAGCGAAAAATACCCGAGCTAGAATCATAGCTCAAATGGTAGAGCACCAACCTAGCAAGCTCAAAGCCTTGAATTCAAACCCCAGTACTGTACCCCAACAATGAGAAAGAAAAGTATCCATTAGCTTAAATAAGAATGCAGAACCTACCAAAATCACAGATGATGGCAGAACTTTTGCAAATGAAGATGCCATTACACATATGTGAACAAAGGAAAACTCTTTGATAAAGGTTTCAGGTTGTTTGCTAATATCTGAGATACTTTACAGTCATAGTTGTAAATGGCATAATGCCAGCTCCCCTGGGGGAACTGTCATAATCAAAGGCAGAAAACTGAGCACACAGGATGGATATGAGGTTCAGGAGTGACAGAGCACATTGGAGAAAAAAGATGTGGAGAACAAACCCTGTATATAAAAATGACCTCAGGAACCAGAAAATGGAGCCATTGCAACACACTGCCTCATGCAATCCCTTGACAATAGAACGTTGGGGAAATCCCCCGAGACTGTTTGGCTACTATGCTTGTAGACATAGGAGGTATCAGTCTGGATCTCAGTTGATTATTCATTACTTTGCAGATCTTACAGGCTCCCTTCAACCCAAGAGAAGTCATAAATCTATCGATAAAAATTGATATTTGCAAGCCAGGTGCCAATGCTCAGGCCTGTAATCTTAGCTATTCAAGAAGCTGAGATTTGATGATGGAGGCTCAAAGCCAGCCAAGGAAGGAAAAAGACTCTTATCTACAATTAAGCACCAAAAAAGCTGTAAGTGGAGTGGTGGCTCAAGTGGTAGCACACTAATATCGAGCAAAATCAAAAGCTCAGAGATACCATCCAAACCCTGAATTCAAAGCCCTAGGACTAGCAGAAAAAAAGAAGAAAGAAAGAAAAAACAAGAAAGAAAGAAGGAAGGAAAGAAGGAAGGAAATGAATTATGATAGATGCTATGGAGAGCTCAAATAGTACAATTTTTTAGAAAAACTAAATCAAAGCTCAACAAAATATACACCAAGAAATGAGTACTTGCAAGGGGTAGGGCCAAAGGAAGTGGGGTAGACAATGAAGGGAGGAAGGGAAGAGAATGCAGCCAAGAATTTATTGGAAATATCACCAAGATAAGAAATGTAAGGAAGTGACCCAGCAATCCCACTTTGGGGCATTTACCCAACCGATCACAAACAAGGCTGTATTAAAGCTACCAGCACAACTATGTTTATCGCAGAATTATTTACCATAGCTAAGATATGGAACCAATCCAGATGCTCCTCAGTAGATGAATGGATCAAGAAAATGTGGTATATATATATATATATATATATATATATATATATATATATATACACACACACACACAATGGAATTCTATGCCTCCATCAGAAAGAATGACATTGCCCCATTTGTTAGAAAATGGAAAGATTTGGAAAAAATTATATTAAGTGAAGTAAGCCAGGCCCAAAGAAACATAGGTCCCATGGTTTCCCTTATTTGCAATAACTAGTATAAGTCTAGTACAAGTAGAAAAGGTCAAGGCTATGTACATATAACCATATAAGATGATGGTAAGTGAAATGAACCCCAAGATAGGGACACAACTTGTTTTTTCTTTCTTGCTATTGTTTTTGATGTATTTAAAGTGTATATGTGATTTTATTTATTTATTTTTGCTTCTTTTGTATGTTCTTCTCCCATGGTATAACCCCTGTTTTCACTGTATTTGATGTCGGTACCCTGCATCTTGTATGTACATTTTTCTAATTTGGGGAGAGAAAGAGAAATAACAAAATGCTGAAATAATTGTAACAATGAGATGTACAAGACACTATGTTGAAAACAAACTTTACAACTTGAGGGGGGAGGGAGAAGTTGGGGGTGTGGGGAGGTAAGGGATGGGAGTGGATAAACACAGGAGGAGGTACCAACACTCGATAGGAAATGTACTCATTACCTTACTCATGTAACTGTAACCCCTCTGTACAGTATTTTTACAATTAAAAAAACAAAAAATGTAAGGAAGGGAAGGGATGGGTCAAAGGGAGATGAGACTGTTGAAGGGGGTGATACAGATCAAGATGCATTCTTTGTTAAATGACACCTCTCTTGTAGAACTACCTACAGATAATAATTTTTAAATTAAAAGGATAAAAACAATGAAAGTTTATATTCAGGGAAAACTGAAATTTTTCTCCCCAACTGGTACATTCTGTCCACGAGAATATTATCTGACCTATTTACCATTGTAGGCAAACAGTAAAGAATGTGTTCACATAATGGGCAGTCATATATTTACTGACTGAATTATAAATGTAATGAACAAATGCCTTCCACCTTTTGTGTGGTGTGGAGTGCTATGGTGTGTGTGTACCTGTGTGTGTGTTGTCTGTGTGTGTGTGTGCGCACACACACATGTACCAGTACTGGGGCTTAAAATCAGGGTGTAGGTGCTTAGCTTTTTTTTGCTGTCCCTTAGCTTTTTTGTTCAAGGCTGGCACTCACTCTATGACCTGAACCATGGCTCCACTTTCAGCTTTTTTGCAGGCTAATTGGAGATAAGAGTCTCTTGGATTTGTATGCCCAGGCTGTCTTTGAACCCTGATCCTCAGAACTCAGTTTCTCTGCAAGTGTCATACTTTTAACACAATACTATTTAATGTTAACTATGTATATAAAATGATAGTTACAGGGCTGGGCAGGTAGCTCAGTGGTAGAGTGCTTGTCTTGCATGCATGAGTGCCTCAGCACCACATAAGCAGAAAAAACCGGAAGTGTGCTGTGGCTCAAGTGGTAGAGCACTTGTCTTGAGCTGAAGAGCTGAGGGACAGCGCCCAGGCCCAGAGTTCAGGCCTCATGATCAACAAAAAAATGATAATTACATATAATTTTTGCAATGTATATTTGACATATGTGTGCATATATTTAATGTATGTAATTGGATATATAGTAAATGTTGGGTATAGAGTTTGGATAATTTTATAATGTTTTCTTTTGTTAAGCAAAACATAACTCCAATAGTGCCTTTTGAATTTCCAAACAAATAATTCCAGGTTATCATAATCATAGTTTTATCTATTTATTTCACAATACTAGGGTTTGAACTTGGAGCCTCGTGCTTGCCAGGCTCTCGAACTTGAGTCACACCTTCTTGTTTTATTTGCTGCTTATTTTAGAGATAGGGTCTCATGAACAGTTTTAGCTAGGCTGGCTTGGATATATAACCCTCCTGCTCTGTCTTCCAAGGAGCCATGATTAAAGACATGAGCCCCTGCACCTGACAGTAGCATTTTTGTGCCATTGTCAGTGTCAGGTTCTGGGTGAAGTGACACATGTACATGCATTTTATCAGACATTATGGCAGCCATGCAAGGTAAATATTGCTATTTACAAATAAGGAAAATGGGGGTTAGCCAGATGTGTCCAGGGTTAAGTATCTATTGGGGAGGGAGAGATGGGATTTGAACCCAGATGGAATGCCAAAGCTATGTTTTCTCCACTCTGCATCCTTTTATGAAATCACAGGCTTTTACCACTTAGAGAGTGCCATTGGGGTGGAGTAGGGGGCATGGTGCTATGAACTCAACATTTTCTTCAAAGAGGAGATGGATCTTCTCATCCCAGGATTCCAGACCTCGCCATGGTCCTTCTGCTTCTCTTATATGCAGTATGAGCGAAGTTCTGCATCTACAACACAATTAAAAATATTCAGAACACACAACCATGTTCAAAACTCTCCTAGAAAAAAGTGAGAACTATTAAGTATGCCATAAATGTCAGTGACCATAATCCTTTTAGCCAAAACTCACACACTAACTCTTATTTTTCTAAGTCTTACAGTTACGACTTCAACAGAGACGGACCCAGGAGCAACTGGCTAACCAAGGTATCATACCACGTGAGTACCTACTGCTCTTCCTCCTCTACTCTACTGCAGGACCACAATATAAGGGAACAAGGAAGTGCCTCTGAAGTTATTGAGCACCGATATGTTGATTTCTCAATATCCTGACAAAATTTGTGTCAGCAGAAACCCAGACTTGGTATCCTTTGCCCTTGCTGTCACTTACTTGTATATAAGTTGTGTCTGAAAATTCTAATATGGTTAGTTGGCTTCCACCAGTTGGTAAACACAATTCACTATGGCCATTCTTGACTCCTCTCTTTTAAAACTGCATATAATCATTCCTCTTTCCAGAAGTACTAATCATGTCAGTTGTCTTACCTTAGTTGCTTGGGACATTTGAATCCACAATGAATTGGGTATTGTTCAATAGTTCCTTTCTGAAAGATTGGGTAGCTATACCATTTCAACACAAATGCTGGAATAATCAGCCACTAGCCATAATCTGCATCAGAGAAGGAATATGCTGTAGAAAATATTTTTGAAATTCCGACTCATTACCAACTCAACTTTTCTTTGTCAGTACCTATAAAAATAAGGGAAAGGGGGCTGTAGGTGAATGAAATCAAGTTAAGCTGTTGGAAGCCACACTAACTTCCTTCCCAATGAAGTTTTCAAAAATCAAGACTTGTATTGGCCCTTGCCAAGGCTCATTCACCTGTATAACACCATCCTGACTATGACTTCTGGGTTTAATGTGCTTGCAAGCAGGGGAGAGCCCACCCTGTGGTCAGCACACAGACCTTATGGGCCCTGTCTGTCTGAACATGGCAGAACTCAAACTGCTTTAAGCCTTTTCTTTTCAAAACTCAAAGATATTTTTTTGTTGTTGTTAATGTTTATTCTCTCGAAGTTAGATACATTCCAATTTTTAATGACTTTGCTCCACACTTTTTTCATACTTAAAAAAAACTTTTTAGTACATTTTATACATTTTGGGGGCACATAGGAATGGTATGATGTGGGGGGATTTGCATGAGTTATACAATGAATTGTAGGCAGCTAACAGCAGAACTTTTTCAGGGGTTTGTTAAGCATCCAAGAGACATCTCCCCCACAGCCACATTTAGAGCAATTCTACAGGGTGGTCTGGGACAGCTTATTCTTCCCCGTACAGGGTGCTAAAGACAAAAAGCAAAGGTCTACAGAGCTTAGGTCAAGGAAACAGTTTTACCTAGGCTGATGTGTTTTCCCCCTTAATTCTGGGAACATAAATGAAACAAATAGATTCAGAACATTGTAGTTAGCCCAAGCTCATAACTGATTGAAAGCTCAGCACATTTGCTTGAATGCTCTGAGCATGAGTCTTGAAGCTGGGATTTGAATAATATTATATATATATATATATATATATATATATATATATATATGAGGAGTTAAATCTAGGAATCAGAAAAATAACCAATAAAAGTTCCTAACTCTATTCCTTAAAAAAGTGGTACATTTGTAATATCATCTCCCATATTAGTCCAATTGATGCATAACATTTTATTCTCTGTGATTTTCATAATCACACAATATGGATACTAACAAATAATATATAAGAGAAAATTTACATCCATCATCTATTGTATCATTATGATAATTTTATTGGTAGGGCATGTCTGCAAATAATGAAAATTACTAGGAACTGAACCCAGGGCTTCCAATCAAGTATTTTATCACTTGAGCCATACAGCCAATCTTTTTATCTTTCATTTTAGTTTTAAAACAGGATCTCACCAATTTTGCTGAGCTTGCCTCAAACTTATGATCTTCCTGTCTCTACCTCTCAAACAGGCATGCACCACCATACCACTATAAGCTTTTAAAAACAAAAGCAAATTTAATCAATGTTAAAGGTTTAAGACTCTTCTGCCACCTATTCTCAACCATGCTTGCTAAGGGTGTGTATTCCGCTATGGAAAAGTGCACATGCATGTCTGATGCACACTGGAATCCCTGCCTGGGCAGACATGTTTGGCTTAGCTTTTCTCAGAAAGCTAGAGCCAGGAAAAGGGTCTTTACCTGCTAACAGTCAGCCTCTCCAAGCCAGTCTGAGACCAAGAGCATAGTCTCCCTTCAGTGAGAGGCAATACATTTCCTCAGGCCCTGAATTCAAACCCCAGTACAGAAAAAGCAAGAAAGCAAGGAAGGAAGGAAGAAAGGAAGGAAGGAAG